TGCTTGCCATTTCTTCATTAGCAACTCTCCCCTGTCTTCAGTGGAGACTGCTTTCTTCTTCAGAATCGGTCTTACACATACTTGTGCAAGGTTCCATCCTGTAATCCTACCATCAGATCGTCCATCACCGACAGATCTGCCTCGTACCACATAAGAACCGGTTACATCAGTAGTACCAGAATTGCCATTTCCACTCCTGTCAACAACAGCTCGTTGCATATTGCTTCGATGTTGTTGACCAGTCGATTGCGTTCCAGTGACGCTAGACGCGGCATCCGACTGCGCCGCAGATGCAGTCGCAGGGACTTGGAGATTGGCTCTCCCCGCTCGTCTTGAAGTAGTAGTAGTAGTAGTGGGTGCGTCGCTGTATCGTCCTGGGTCGCTCCATTCCGCTTGTGCGCGTGTGGAGCGTTCGGGACAACGGGTGACCCCATGGCCAGTATCTCCGCAACACCAGCAAATAAAAGCCGGTCCTGAAGATGTCGTTCAAGCATTCGCCTGTGTGTTACTCACTCCGTCAGGGGCACTGCTGCTCGCAGTGGTTGCGCTTGGAGTAGGTCTCGGTGTCGTCGGATCTTTCTTTCTATTGTCCGGCTTATGTTTGATCAGCGCTTTGGCGACCTGGTCAATTGTAGTCGGATATTCGTTTCTTTGGTCGTATTCCTTGAATTCCATGGCGCAGGTCTGGTTCACCTTGTCCAACATGCTTTGGAAGCGAAACCTGTCGTAGTTGTAGAAAAATGCACTTGCTTTAAATGTGCCCAGAACTTCTTTCTTGAACGTTTCTTGGAGCGCCTTGATATCGTCCGGATTGTACAGATGGATACGTATTGAAGCTATATCTGAATCTGTGACTAGTTTGTGAAGAACATGTGCGTATGTTCTTTATACGCCGCGACAGCTGGTGAGAGCTGACGCAGATGGCTTCTGGAAGAGATATTTTGTACCTGCTTGTGGAGATCATTGTTGATTGACTTCTGGCAAGAATAGCAGTAGAATAAGATCTAATAGGAAGTGGTGAGACTGTTCATCCGCAGGTAGAAGCCCAGCATCACTGGCACCTGTTCCTATTGTAGGCAATCCATAGCCGACGTAGATTTGAGCTCAGTATACGCCAGAGGTAGCTAGAGCGTTGAGGCTCTCATTACAGCTATGGAGTTGATTATCTGACAGTCGATCAAAGAAGGTAACTTTTGAACCTTACAGAGTAGAAGAGACTACAGAGCAAGATACAAGGTGGAAGACACCAAGGAAGAGGCGGTCAAGGAGGCCATAGCGGGAGATCTATCCAGCAGACCAGTCAAAGGTCTCAAAGAAAGAAGACCGAGCGAAAGAAGCAGTACCATCCTCATAATCCTGAATTTACTCATGGCCGGGTGACGGTGTACTTGCTGGAGGCTATTGCACTCAAGAGCTTGGACTTTGCTCAAGATGCAATCGCAAGTGTACAAAATATGGCCCATGTGGGCTTAGAAGCTCTAAGAGGACGCCAAACAGTCTACAGTTTGGTGGGAAAGAACGATACTATGTTCCACAAGAAGAGGGAGAATCGTAATAACAAGAATGACAAAAGGGAAGTGATCTACAACACAAATAATATTGTTGCTGTCATCATCACTAAGCATTTCATCAAATCGGTGATGAGAGATAAGTTGAGCAATGAAGGTGATTGGCTAGACCTCCAAGAAGATCACATGAATTGCTTGAAGCGTATGAAGACGTTCATGACTGTCATGGATGAGACCAAGTGGCAACACTTGGACTCATGGAATCTCTTAAGAGATTCACAAACTGCACTCAAAAGCAAAATGAGTCTGTAAATGATTACAGAAGACGGTTTGAAGCCCAAGCTGACCAAGTGTTCGAAATACTTGGCAATAATGTGTTGCGGGTCTATGCAACTAAGACGCTGGGGTACTTGGATTTGTGCAGTCCGGAGGACAATCTGGAAGATACCAAGGCACTCCAAGACACGTTCAAGAAAGAAGTTCTAGAAGCATTTAAAGCAAGCGCATTCTTTTACAGCTGTGACAGGTCTTGCTTCCAAAGCATGTTGGATAAAGCAAATCAGACCTCCAAAGAATATCCAACTATGATTGATCAGGTTGCAAAAGCGCTAATCAATCATAAGCCGGACAATTGAAAGAAAGGTCCAACAACACCGAGACCTACTCCAAGAACCGACACTGCGAGAAGCACTAACCCTGATGGAGAGAGCAATGCACAAGAGACTGCTCAAACAACATTATTTTAGTTGCTGGTGTTGTGGAAATACTGGACATGGAGTCACTCATTGCCCCAAACATTCCATGCACCCACAAGCGGAATGGAGCGACCCAGGACGATACAGCGACGCCTCCACTACTACTACTACTACTACTACTACTACTACTACTACTACTACTACTACTACTACTACTACTACTACTACAAGACGAGCGGGGAGAGCCAACCTCCAAGTCCCTGCGACTGCATCTCGGCGCAGTCGGATGCCGCGTCTAGCGTCACAGGAACGCAATCAACTGGTCAACAACATTGAAGCAATATGCAACGAGCTGTTGTTGACAGGAGTGGAAATGGCAATTCTGGTACTACTGATGTAACCGGTTCTTATGTGGTACGAGGCAGGTCTGTTACTAATAACCGATCTAATGGTAGAATTACAGGATGGAACCTTGCACAAGTACGTGTAAAACCGATTGTGAAGAAGAAAGTGATCTCCACTGAAGACAGAGGAGAGCTGCTAATGCAGAAATGGCAGGCTCAACTAGAAACTGCCAATACTCTCAAGGACGATGACAGCATGGTCAGCAATGGAAGTGTGAACATGCAGATCTACAAGTCAACCTTGAAGATGGATTCATTGAAACACTGTTCTCAATGGACCAAAGATAACAAGAAATTTTCAAGTCAAACGGAAGTAAACACTAGGATATCAATCTTGGTGTTGATGCCTGATCTACGTTCAGCCTACGAATGAACAAATATTACGCCAAACCGGGCATTGTGTCTGACCTGGATTACATGTTCAACTACGGGATGAACACTGGCCAACGTGAATATTGAAGGCTGTACTGATAAACAAGTTGAGCGGGCTAATTGCACAAGAGCAGTGTACCATATGGCTGGTGCACCAGGTGTGCAAGCGTTTTGTATTGCAGGAAGATCTGGTTTGTTCAAGAACTGCAATATGAATGAGGAAGATGCAATCATTGCTGAAGAGATATACAGCTAGCGTCAGTTTTAGACTGCATCCTGTAAAAAATGCGTAGCCCTGGTACAAAAAGTGACGATCAATCGAGTCGGATAGAAATTGGACTAAATTACCTTCTTTGTTTATAAATCTTAAAATCTGAATATGTACTATTTGCCTACAGTGTATAGACTAGAGGTGTATCCATTTTAAATTCCAAATTTTGGACTAGAATGCATGGAATTTTGAAACGGTCAATCAAGTCACCAGAAATGTTGGGAAGGGGTCAAGGGGAAACCAGAGCCGGGAATCTCATTTCTGCCGCAGCATTGCAAAAGTTGATATAGATAGGTATATTAGTAATTTTTGATTGGGTCTTACCATGTCTGGATGCTGACACGGTGACTGGGATAGATTCTTGGCCACCTCTGGATTGCATGCCAAATTGACCACAAAGGTCAAGTAGGTGCAATTCAATCACTTCTACCTTAGAATCTGCGATTCCAAGCCGTCAAACTTTGTTAGATATACCTATGGAAAAAGAATAAATTATCTTCTAGTGTAATCTTGAGCATTCAACAAAGAATGGTAATATCCTGTCAGATTAACAGTTGCAGCTACGCACCATCAGCTAGCTGCCGCCGTTTTTTCCACAGAAAAATGTTCCTCAGAAGCAATTTCTACAAGTCTTTGCCAGTCCATCGGCATTTCGGCCATTGTAACGCCCACACTTACGACCTGACCGAGTCCTTTCCCACACCTACAGTCAAAGACCAGAGTTTTACCTCTTTTCCTCTGGTTCATCAATCTCAAAGGTTTTGTAGCTGCCACGTTCAAAGTGGACTAAGCTCTAATTAGGTCGCCATACCCATCACTGTTGACAACTATGCCAAGACCCACCGCACAAGGGTATTATATTTAGTTTTAATTTTGGTGGTTCTCTATTTTGGTTGTCCAGCCCTATTGGAAACTGAAAGGAGCCAAGCGCTGGGCATCCGACAAACCCGTGCTTCCCCCACTTGTCGTCTTTTGCTTCCAGTGTTGAGAAATCAACCACAAAGACAACTTGTGAGGATCATCGCCCGGCTGTACTGCAATTAAACGAGGCGGTTCTAGTCCCCAAAAGCAGGCAGCGGCACACAGATTGATTTATTTTAATTGACTGAAATTTGTTCTAGATCCTGGTACACTTGTTTGTACCGTTTCCCGCAGTCCTTCCCAGCACCCCTGAGTTGATTGTTGTTGCGTGCACAACAACTTTTGGCGTGTTGCATTCTCTTTTCCACCTAAAAACCAGCCAGTTTTCGACCGGGCACTTGCTAGTCATTGGAGCACCAGGACGCGTAGACAAGTAAAGGTCAAGCGGTTTCATCCAGCCCCTTGTAGTCTTCTGCAGTCAGTCTCCTACAGACTCAGAAGACCAATCTCCGTATTCCCACCTGTAACTGACCAACTTCGGATCTAAGAAGGTTAAGGGAGTTAAGTTCATAGAAAACGGACGGCTCCTTGTTCCAATTCTTGGGACCTTCATTTGTCTGTCCTGGCCTCAACTGACGTTCAAGCAAACCAGGAGAGCCTAACCGCAATCCTTGGGACTAGTGTGACCGTAGGGAATTCACCAGTTCGAAACGTCAACCTATTTGAGCCCTTTTTTTTTAGGGAATCACTGGACCAACTTTTGCGCTAAGAAGTTTTGGGACAGGCATTGTCCCTGGAGTTTTTGCTCTGAAGACTCTTCCCCTACTTTTCCACCCCAACAACAAACCAGACATGCCAACTACTCGGAGTGGTACAAATTCCACACCCGCTCCTACTGCTGATGCTGCCAACCTACCTGTCAGCCCTGCTACTCTAACTGTTGGCAATACTGCCGGTACGCCCGCCAATCCTACCGCACAACCTGGTTTTACCCCTGCAAGCCTTGAGTTTGCTGTCACAGCCCTCTTTCAAGAGCCCCTCAACAGCCCACTCATGCTTGCTCTTCGTCGTGATGGTAGCAATTGTCTCGTGGATCTCCTCTCCTTCTCTGAGGATGAAGTCCGTGAACTGAAATATGATACACCTATCATCGACAAACTGTAACGTGGCTGACTGGACTGCCGAGTCCCGAGCAGATATATTAGAGCGATCGAAGGCCAACGGTTAATCATCTATCATCTACTCACAGCTGCTTCAGACCCCCTAAATACACCCCAATAGCAATATCAATCATCGTCTATCATGCCTAGCAGTAGCTACATCAATGCACTAGTACGCTCTCTCTACAATGAGAGTCAGGAGACCAACGTTGTCACGTTAAGTGGAAGCCAGCCCGAGATTTGAAGCCCCCATGCATTCGATTCGCAGTCAGAGCCACCAAGTTTGTTCACACGATCAGCTAACACATGGGGAGGACAGTTCAACCCTGATCATTTCCAGCGCAACACGTTCGCTTTGATGTCAGCAAGTCCTGTCAATATGGAGAATGCAGCGTTCGCCACGATGACTGCCGCGTCGCATCACAAATATGAAAAAAATGAAAAAAGAAGCGATCGCATCAACAAGAAATCGTATTGGGTCAACGGAAGCCACGTGGACGAGACCATCACCTACAACCAGTATACCATCGATACTGCAGTCTTAGCTCCAACCACAGAGTCTCCAGAAATCAAGCAAACGATCCTACAACAGTCTGTGAACTCCATCAACCAGACAAAGACAACAATGGAACACAAGGTAGATTTCTTGATGAAACGCTACACATCTGTGTGCCCAGACGTTCGCTCGCGAGTCAACGCCGCCACCAGCGAATTGTTTGACGTGACTAGTGACGTGTACGAGTTTGCAAGCCTCCATGTCATCGACAACACAGGACAAGCGATCGCTACAGGACCGGGACCAGGACTTCCAGCACCATTTAGAGCCGCTGCCACATACTTCCGAATCGAGCTCCGATTGGTCCCACGGCTGTGTTCCCTACGAACTGACATTGGAATCGACCCAACAAAGTTCCCACCATCTTCCAACAGAGCTGTATACGTTCCAGTGCCAAGAGTCCAGAACCAGATGGACGTATGGACCAAGCACTTCACAAGGAAATCATTGCAGCAATGGCAGTCCTAGGAGAAGAATTCTTGATGAGAGCTGCGACCAGAGACGGAGAGCCAGATAACAAAGCCTACGAAAAGTGGTCCAAGCAACAGATCGCAAAGACCTAATTTCAAGCACTCGAACAAGCACTCACAGCCACCTACGTCGGACTACAACAAGGAATGGAGACGCCAAACCAACAACTGGCAAAACTCAACATGATCCGATACAAAGGAGGCACCATGATGTACGACAGCGTGGCAACTTTATTTGGCAGAATCGCCACTATTCTAAATGGTTTCAACCACAAGAACCCCCCGCCAACCAACCTATCAGACTTGGCAGGAGTAGCGTTCCAAGCCTTCACACAAGAAATCAAGGACGTTGTTGCTGAACACCTAGAGACAGGAGCAGCAGGACCACTACTTGTGGACTACCCCAGCAACCTGTCTCGAATGCACCGTCTACACAATCAAGCAGAGAAAGAAGAGAGGCGCATCAAGCAACTTGTGGGAATTGCAAACAGCGCGGGACGAGTCAGGCCAAACAGAAGCTACGTTCCAGGGCTATCTGCACCGCCAAGTCCAGGAGGAAGAGCTTTTGCAGGATTCCACCAACAAGAATTCCAAGGATTCCAAGACAATTGCTCCTCCCAAACTCCAACGATCGAGACAGCCGGAACCTTCCACACTGCATTGACGCCCACACCAAAGCAAAACGTTCGAGTCACTGACGGACAAGGAAGACAATTGTTGGTTCCGACACCCAACAGCAAACTATACTGCCCACAAGCAGCCCTAACAATGCTAGCATGCATGAGTGCTGCCAAAGAAGCACTCAACATTGAAGAAGAAAGTGACAAACCACCTTTGATCCGTTGTTGGGGATGCCAAAGGATAGGCCACTCTTTCAGAGAATGCCCCCACAAAGGAGATCCGGGAGTTATCAGCCAGTTTGAACAAAGCCTAGAGGACTACAGACTAAAGAGAGAGCAGAGACGACACAAAAGCAAGTTACAAGGATAGTGGTTATATTAATCAATTAATTTATGAAAAATTCAAAAGATTGAGCATCCAGAATCGCGGGAAGATGAACGAAGAACACTGTTGATAAACTTGGCCAAAACAATCACTGAACACATGGGCAACAACAGTGGACAAAAGAGGAAGCAAATGAGAACGGACCCCCCACTCACTTTCATGACGGTCAGAAGCTTTGCAGCAATGGAACAAGCACAAAAATTGGACTTCTCAGTGAACGAGGTCCTAGCAGTGATGCACTTCCCAATTGGCCTCAATTGCGGAGACACAGCCAACTTGAAAGGAATATATGACACAGGAGGATGCTGCAACATAGGAGAAAAAGCATACCACCTCGCCATACCCCCACTTGGTCAAACAGGTGTACCACTTTCCAAAGATTCACTACGCCCCCATCAAGATTGGAGGAATCAAAGACAGTGTCAACATCAAGGCAATCATTGAATACTACACCCCTTTTGCCAACGAGGATGGAGAAAATCACACGTTGATGATCGGATTGATGGAGCAACTACCCATCAACACACTCTTTGGATTTCCATTCATGTTGAAGGCAAAGATGGCGCCAGACTTTCATCGAAAAACAGTAACTTCAAGCCTCTTCAACCAAGAGTTTGAACTCACCATGGAGCGACCCACAATGCTTCCAGTGGAACACACCAACATTACACCAAAGAACACATAACGCAGATCAATCAGAAGACGAAGCCCACCACAAATGAAAAGAAAAGAAAAAAAGAAAAAAACCAATGAAAAAAAACAATGAAAAATAAAAATAAAAATGCGCAAAAACTATACAACGAAACCCATAACACGCCCAAAAACTATACAATGAAACCCATAACACGCGAGAAAACTACACAATGAACCGAAAAATATAATAATATAACACGCGAGAAAACTACACAATGAACCAAAAAATATATTAACCCTTTTGCGAAAAGTGCCTTTTTGGCACTTCGAACCACGGTACATTCTACATACGAGGACCAATATTTTTTGAAAATATGCACCCTTCAAGTGCCAAAAAGGCACTTCGAATGGGTTTTGGCCATTTGACTGGCCGGCTCGTTTTTTTCATTAAAAGTGCCTAAAAGGCACTTGTAAAAAATCACCCAATGTGCGCATGAAATTTATATGGTATTCATGATATATATATATATCGTTCTTTTTTTTTAGCTCCAAGGCTCATAACCCACCCCAAAAACCAATTTTTGGTTGATCCGCATGCACTGATACGTATAGCCCAGCACAGCACTATTACAGTAGTCAACAAGCCATCCAATTGCACACCTAATCTTTTGTCAATTATTCATGATGATCGTTGTTGTCCGAAATCCAAATAGCCCAAACTTCTCTGCACTGTCCCTATAGAGTGGCCTCTAAGCCATAGGTTTCTTCAACCTCCAAAACAGAACTGAAAGGCACAAACACCGCACAAGGACTTGACAAGAAAGAATGGGAACATCATCAAGTCCAACGATACAAGAACAGTGGAAAGATTGCTCTGTTCATGGAACTGGAATACCTGTTGGTTGGCAGAAGTGTTTCTTTTTGCGGATTCATTTCAGTTCAATATCCCCAGTCACCAGTCAAAGCCTTGCATCCAACTGAAGTCCAAAGGTTGAATGATGTTCTATTGACATTGACTCTTTTCTGATATAGGTGATACTACATGGCATTCATTCAACACTGGCATTCGTCATTCTACAATCAACCGAAGCATAGGAAACAAATGGATTGATGGGCAGATTCGTAAATATTCAACTGATGCGTCATAAGATGCTTGTCATTCTCTATTTGTTACCATCTGCTTCCGCAGTACAGGGCCACTACAATCATTGTCTCAATTCATTGATGCACTAGTGGGAGCGATTGGGTCATGGTTGAGGCATATCTGATGGGTGGAACTGCAATTGATGGACAGGTTTGTAAATTTTCAACGGATGCTCGTGTTCCATTTACTATCGATCTTCATGCTTACCATCTGCTTCTGCAGTACAGGGCCACTACAATCATTCGCCCAACTCATTGATGCACTAGTGGGAGCGATTGAGTGATTACTTGGATATGCCTACCTCTGCCAAACCCTCCATCGCAATTCAATCATTGACATACAAGCATTCCTATGCTATCAATTTAGTGGTAACTTTATAGTTTTAAATAATTCTTCTTTACCACAACCTGTTGTCTCCAAGCCTGATCATCGCAAACCTATTGACTTGTCCCCTGACACTCTCCTTCCAAAACAGATGGGGACAAACCCAGACAGCCATCTAGCCACCATACACAACAAATTTGCACCCAAACATGGGGAGCTACAACGGCCAATGGGCAACACCTCAGACCGCCAAGCTACAGTAGACGTGATCAGTAATCAGTATAGTAACACCACTAGTCCTACTACTCTTGTTTGAATGCCTGATTTTTCAAGCAGAAACTTTGATTGGTGGTATAATATATACTGGTAGTCAATATTGTCCAAATTCCATGGTACCGGTAGGTCAAGACAGAATCCAATTTGGCTCTATTTTACTGCCTGACGCAGCATTTCCAAGTATGACGTACACTTATGTATAAAATATAGTCATACCCAAATATCTGAAATCCAGGATTTTTTCAACATTTTTCTTAGGTACACAACAAGACGGCATCAACGGCAATCTTCAGACACTATAGTAGGGTGCTGCAGCAATAAGTCAAGTTATCTACAAGCCAAAGAACAAAAATAATAACTGAAACATTAATCGATTAAATGCTAGGTAGCGCATACGATTGCCGGTGGAATGTTCGGCTGTAAAGGTCAAGTACTGTGGAGCGGCGAGTCAACAACAAGTTTGAACCATGTGAGGCGTCTGAATAATCAGAAGTTGCTCTAGTCAGAACCAGCTGGTTCGGACTCTACCCGCAGCG